TGTGATTGAGAATTTCCAGCACAAGTGTTGGGGCAATATCATATCCAAGGACAAACAAGGTTACCATGTAGTTACAGTACCTCGTTACAACACACTATTAACATTTTGATTAAGTCATGTTCTGGCAAGACAAAAATCATACTGAAATCATCTTGCAATATTTCCATTGGGACGAGCTTGAGTCACGTGAGATGGCCCGAGTCACGTGAGATGGTCCGAGTCATGTGAGATGGCCCGAGTCATGTGAGATGGCCCGAGTCACGTGAGATGGTCCGAGTCACGTGAGATGGTCCGAGTCACGTGAGATGGCCCGAGTCACGTGAGATGGCCCGAGTCACGTGAGATAGTACAACTAGTACAAGATTTACAACAATGCTGAACTAGTTAGGGCTACTGTGACACGGCCAACACTGAGAGTGTACAGGCCACGTCACAGATAACTTGTTACATCAACTATATGAGTCGTGGGCATAGGTGTACTATTTAGTAAGCTAGTAAAGCTGTAATACCAGCATCTTTGGGCTATAGGCAAACAAATAAAAAAACATTAGCTTTAACAAAAAGCTATATAATACTTGTACATAAATCTTTAAATAATAATGCTAAGCAATAAGCATGTTTATGAGAGACACATCAAACCGATCACATGTACAACGATTGTGCAGCAAACACACACACAATGGTCACACACAGCAAACACACACACAATGGTCACACGCAGCAAACACACATTCATCCTCGACATCCAGGGGTTTCGCTAACTTTCGCTCTCTGCACCCCTGGAATATGTCATAGCAAAAATTGAAGGCACGAAGATAGCTGTTTGATTGGTCTTGGGTAAAACAAGAGGCCCATGGGCCTTAACGGTCACCCGAGTCCTACAGTATTTATTTTTGTTGTTGAAATACGTACCAATTTGAGTAAAACATAGTTAAGTATAACGTTAACTTAAGTTTGTCCGGACCATGAGCTGATCATTCCTAGACCGAGTTTCAGTTAGATCGGCCTATTAGAACTTGTTTTAAGTTTGAAATAGTTATTTTCAAAATAGCGGCCATGGCAGCCAAATTGTATTTCTGATTGACCGGAAAAATAACAACACTTTGTCAGGACCATGAGTCGATCATTCCTACAAAGTTTCAGTTCAATCGACCCAGCAGAACTTGACTTTAAGTTTGAAATAGTTTTTCAAACTGGCGGCCGTGGCAGCCATATTGGATTTCTGATTGACACGAAAAATAACAACACTTGGTCAGGGAGATATCAGTAACCTTCCCATGAATATTAATGAAATCCCTTCGCCAGTTTTTCAGCTTAAGTTGAAAATGTAAAATGTTAACGAACGACGCACGACGGACAAAGATGGCTAGCAATAGGTCACCTGAGCTTTACTAAAAAACTGACCAATCGCTAGGCTGATACCTGTCCTTTGAAGATTACAAAGGAGAGACGCCCGACTTCAAAGGCTGTCAATTTTAGATTATTTTGATGTATATCAAAGGATCGAACTAGTCTTCTTGTCTCATCAACAAGGTGGCGCACACTGAGCCTTCAATTTTGCTATGACATATTCCAGGGGTGCAGAGAGCGAAAAGGAATGTAACCCCTGAATATCGAGGATGAGCTTAATTTACCGTTTGTAGTATCCGTTTGAGTTTCTGCTAGATCATCCACTGTTTTGACAAATATAGTTAAAACCGTCCTTAAATGGCATATTAATATATATAGAGACACTGTATTTTATATATTACAGTAAATCCTATGTATATAAACAAAGTAAAGCATCTTGTAAATGTACAACCTTTTCTAAAAATAACTCAACAAACAACTAACTAAGCTGATAATATAAAAATCTACCAGTATTAGCTTTGGAATAAAAAGTATAATTCTGACTTACAATGTAAATAGCATAAAAGCTAACCATAAAGCATACATGACATATTATATCACTGCTCCTCAGAACAAATTTCATATTGTACAGCCATTTCCTTATGTGGACTGGCAGACATCATTTTTGTAAACACAACCTAAAACATTCTGACAACCCTTTACAACCATGGATACCTCAACAACTTAAAATCCTGACCCCCCCCCCCCCATCTCTCTCCCTCTCTCATAATGTAATACTTAACTTAATAGAAAATATTAATTTAATTTAAAATGCCATCTTGTATATATGTATATTATTATATGTTATTGGGAAATGGCTTTATATAAGTGTGACAATTTGTGCCCAATCAATCACTATTGTATAAAAGATGCAAATAAATATGCATAAATCAAAATCCTGACAACCCTTAACATCCTAACAACCTGACAACTCTAAACATATTGACAACCCTAAATACCCTAACAACCCTTAACATCCTAACAACCTGACAACTCTTAACATATTGACAACCCTGAACATCCTGTGACCCTGAATACCATAACAACCCTTAACATCCTAACAACCCTTAACATCCTAATAACCCTAAACATCCTGTGACTCTGAATACCCTAACAACCCTTAACATCCTAACAACCCTTAACATCCTAACAACCTGACAACTCTAAACATATTGACAACCCTGAACATCCTGTGACCCTGAATACCCTAACAACCCTTAACAGCCTAATAACCCTCAACATCCTAACAACCTGACAACTCTAAACATATTGACAACCCTGAACATCCTGTGACCCTGAATACCCTAACAACCCTTAACATCCTAACAACCCTTAACATCCTAATAACCCTAAACATCCTGGTCCCAATTCCAGTAAATTATAATTGATACTAAAAAAGTTTTCTCATTAATACATCATTATTGCAAACTTTGATTTACTATTCCTGGCGTTTTAGGGTGTCATGTGTCAAAACAAACGGCATGTCGGTACACACCAGTGTTACATGGTGTCATGTGTCAATACACACCAGTGTTACATGGTGTCATGTGTCAATACACACCAGTGTGACATGTGTCAATACACAACAGTTTTACATGGTGTCATATGTCGGTACACACAAGCGTGACAAGGTGTCATGTGTTCATACACACCAGTGTGACATGGTGTCATGTGTTCATACACACCAGCATGGCATGTATTTATGTATCAATACACACCCGGGTGTCAATACACACCAGTGTGACATGTTGTCATGTGTCAATACACATCAGTTTGTCATGTGTAAATACACACCAGTGTGACATGGGGTCATGTGTCAATACACATCAGTGTGTCATGTGTAAATACACACCAGTGTAACATATTGTCATGTGTCAATACAGACCAGTGTGACATGGTGTCATTTGTCAATACACATCAGTGTGTCATGTGTAAATACACACCAGTGTGACATTTTGTCATGTGTCAATACACTCCAGTGTGACATGGTGTCATGTGTTAATACACACCAGTGTGACATGGTGTCATGTGTCAATACACATCAGTGTTTGTCGGAGCTATATGACAGCTGGAATAAAATAATATAACAATACTGGGTCCCTAACCCAAACTTTAGGTCAAATAAAGGCATGTTTGTCACAATAAATATCTTGTTCCCTACAATAAAGTCACAGTATTGCATTATACATGGTAAGCACAGCTTAAAAAAAGTAATGAGGTGGGAATCTCTTAGTGAGACCTAGCTCACTTTGTAATCTAATTGAGTTTTGTCTTATTTAGCACTACCTGCTATGTATATATAGTATTTCAATTGAGACTAAATGTGACAATAAATTATAACCTGACAACAATGTTCCTCCAGATGCTATTGATAGTCATGATAACATTGTCATTTTGCCCTCAAAACATTTCCTGCACCTGCATTTTATAGAGCAATGGCATTTACCTTTAAGGGCATAAATACCAAGTATTGACTGATGTGAACGCCCTTCTCAGGTAAAGAGAGGGATACCACTCCTCCTTAATGTCGGAACTTAGTGGTACACATATCTTTTACATGCAGAGGAAGATCAGTTACCTTTCAGGTAAAGGCTAGACAACACATCGTTATAAGTAGGGTAGACAAGTCCCTTTACAGACTAACAGTAGATAATACAGGGTATGTTCACACTGATTACTCTCTCTTACAGGAGCAAGACAACAAAATAAACAGGTAGTGCATTCATCAATGAAACCTTATTTTATGGGAAATTAAGCATACAAACATTGCAGTTGTAAAATATTGTATTTTGCTTTGTGATGCTTCAAAATCCCATCCCAATGCATTGAAAAGCTAACAGGAAGCACAAGGCTTCTCAGTGTGAAATAGGGAGGGTTTACTTTTCAAATCAAGGGTTCTAAGGTTTTACCTTTCCTCAAAATTTACAGTCAATACAAAAATACACAACCATACGTTTATCTTACTCAAAACATAATAAGTATAATAGGCGAGAGCCATCTGACTAAATGTATAAACTCCAAGATGAATCTTAAATGTATGAAATCTGAGGCGAGACGTTGGACTAGAACTAAAGTTTATAGTAGCTACTTATTGTGGACTCAAGTTAAGTCTGAATTCATTTTTCTATTATTCTGACACTCCTCTTCAGATCTTTCTGTTGTTGATATGATATATAACAAGTTCAGATCTTATTTAATACTGGGAAAATAAATGTAAAGCTACATGTCTTTTAAATACATTGTGAAGTTTATGTCACTCTTTATAAATAATAATAATGAAATAATAATTTGAGGTTCTTATAAACCGCTTTATCACAACCTAGAAATAGGTTGTCTCAAAGCGGTTCACAAATTATCATCTGTGGTTATAGGGGCTTTGAAACCAGCCAATATCTTTCTCAACTCCCTGGGGAGCATACAGCCAGTCATGCCATTTCGGCGCTAACAGCCAGCATTCAACAATCCTAGCACTGCCCAACCACATACTCATTTACAGCTGAGTAGACTGGAACAAGCGGAGTAAAGTATCTTGTTCAAAGATACAACACAGTGCCATGACATGACTCGAACCCACAACCCTTAGGTCACGAGCCTGGCATCCTTCCACTAGACTACCGTGCCTCCTTTGATACTTAAAATTGTGGTGTGTGTGTGTGTGTGTGTGTGTGTGGTGTTTATTTGATGTATCTATGTTGGATCCCCTGGGAACCTCAATGCTAAATATCAACATTCTAAAAGTGAAGGCTGAATTAATGAATATCATCATTTATGCCAAAACTTTAGCATGGCAATGCTGAAGCAAACATGACTTTGAAAGCCCTCCCCAAACCTCACCTCCCACAAATTCAAATGAAAGTGCTAAAAAGGAAAATAACATCACAGCCCAATGTAAACCTGAAGCTTTCTGTATAGGAAACAACACATAAACATGGACATTACTCAAACTGTTGATTTTATACACACAGAGACATTTGAAAGGGATTAGAATCATTCTTAAATGTCCAGAGTGGAACTGACAGATTCTAAGATATCTGAAAAGGAACAGACACATTCTAAGATGTCTGAATGAGATCAGACACATTCTAAGATGTCTGAAAGTGAACAGACACATTCTAAGATGTCTGATAGGGAACAGACACATTCTAAGATGTCTGAATGAGATCAGACACATTCTAAGATGTCTGATAGGGAACAGACACATTCTTAGATGTCTGATAGGGAACAGAAACATTCTTAGATGTCTGATAGGGAACGAACACATTCTTAGATGTCTGAATGAGATCCGACACATTCCAGGATGTCTGAATGAGATCAGACACATTCGTAGATGTCTGAATGAGATCAGACATTTTCTAGGATGTCTGAAAGTGAAGAGACAGACTTTAGTAAGTCTGACTGGGATTAGATGTATTCCATGATGTCTAAATGCATGAGATCTGACACATTCTAGGCAATATTGTATAACACTTTTGACAAAAAACAACACTATTGAATCCACAGACCAATGGGGCCTGTACTGCTCATTGTTCAAACAGCTGATTATCCTCAAGTGATGTTATATACAAATACTTCTTAACTAGTCATAGATTTACCCCATTTCCTAGATCATGACCGATTTTAGTGTGACTTATACAAATTAAAGTAATCCCTATGTGACCAGAGCCTAGATTCACAAAACCGTTCTCATGTTCAAACTCAGATTCTCTGCCCCTGCCCAATATCTTGTTTGGATGATAAATCGATGAAAAATCACATTTTGTCAATTATTTGGAAGAATTTTGGGGAGACTTAAAGCCCAACACTGTTTTCAATGTCTAAACTTGACTTTTTGACTGTGTGACATACAATGTAAGTTAAGCAACTAATAAGAAAGTTGGTATTAGCCGGAATCCATGCTTGAAATTGAGAACAGTTTCATGAATAGGGCCCCAGGATTTCTTGAGGAAGAGTCTTTGAATGAAAAAAACAGAGAGATGGATAACAATAACAGATGACGATGCACTATGACATTAGCTCATATGGTATATAAATGAAAAGGTATAAAAATCATACCACACATACACACTATAAAATCATACCGCACATACACACTATAAAATCATACCACACTATAAAATCATACCACATGTACACACTATAAAATGGCAACATGTCAAAAGTTGTCCTGCAGGTTAGTGAGATTGTGTACTCAATGATAAAGAATCTGTATAGTACACATGTACTTTCATTTTGTAAAATCCTTATAGCACTTTCATTTTTTGGGGTATTTTGTTGGGTACAGAGGAAACGCCCACATCTTGATTGACATGTTCTATAAGTTACATTTTTTGCCTATAAATACCAACATTTAACAGACTATTTTTTAGCTTGGTGGACGAGGGCATAGAAGTGTGAGTCTGTGTCCTCCAGAAGCTTGTTAGGTGTGTCAATCTCAACTATATGTCCATTGTCCATTACAAGCACTCTGTCATACTTCAGTATGGTTGATATGCGATGCTACAAAAAATGAAGATAATGTTTTATTTACTTTCACAGTTTTTGTTCTTTAGCCAAACGGTATCAATGTGCAGTTTTAAATGCTAAACATTTACATACAATGCTATATAATGATTCTGTATGACATATTGAATAAGACACTGGAGTTATGGTGTGCATATTAGATAAGTCATGGTTATTGTTACTCCAACAATGTTAGAGGTCTTACACGGCGAAAAACTTTTGACAGTCGCCGCGTAACCTCTAACTGCCCATAGCTGATTTTCCCGATGCTGACGATCACATTTTCAAAGTTCGGATTAAGAAAGAGTATATCGTGTTTACATACATGTAAATGGTCAAAAGGGTCCAATTAATATTCCTTTCCATAAATCCATGATTATATGAGAAAAATTGCGTGTCAAAGACATAAATAATGAGTTTTTCCTCATTCGAAGCGAAGCAGACAACATTTGCCATGATTTTTCCGGTTAATACAAAAATGGATTACATGTAATGTTTCACAAGCGGAATACAAAAAAACTCCGTATCACTTCGTTACGTTTGAAATCCCCCCTGCTATTTTTCATTAATCCAGAAGCCATGTTTTAAATGTAGGTCAGAGATGTGCTACAACGACATGGACATGTATTTTGAGTGTTCTATTCCGTAATATACTATATATTTGTGTCTGTGACATACATATGAGATCTATATTATATAAACCGTGAGTAGACATCGTTGTCATGAACTGTTAACCACTTAAGTGAGTTTGTCAAGCCGATTTTGTTCCGCCCGAATTTCGGGCGGAAACTGCATCAAAGAATTAGTGCTTCGGAAATGAGAGGTCGCAGTCGGCAAAATCATATCCGATTGAAAAAAGGCCGACCAGCGGCCTCTCATGTTATGGGAGTAGGTTATTGTGACACCACAATAGATGACATCATCTTTTCAAATAGTATAGCATTATGGTAGGTTACCAAATAATTATTTTTTAAATGTGGGAGAACTAGAGGCATACTGGGCCTGTCTCTCATCTATTTCTTTTCTTATCTGAACTATGCGAGAAGTTGAAATATTTCCATAAACTTGAAGAACATCTCAGATTTTTACTGACCCAAAGAATTACAATAAGACTTGGTAAGAGCACAGATAGGTACATTAGTATGATGTTTTGTCTGGTGGCATTGACTAGGTGTTGAAAATGTCTTGGCCAATCAGAAGACAGTTTGGCTAAAGACCTGTATTCTTAATCAACCCAAGGCAAGAGAGCTTATCAGGTATGGTTATATTTGGCTTGTTGAGAATTGAAAAGTTGAAAATATATCAACCACTCAGTTATTTTTGCTTGTGAGTTAACTCAAAAAAAATAATAACTCTTAGTGATGGCCAAGATGAACAGTTGTATAAAGTTTTATCAAAATCAGTCTTATGCAAATAGAAATCAGAAGCCAAGGTGGCCATCTTGGATTTCAACTTGACCCCTAGATATAACACTTGATAAGGGCCATGAAATCATCACATGAACGATGTTGGGTAACCTCATTGAAATGGAGAAGAATTCAAAACTACTTCTGCCTCTATTTTCCGTGTGTGGTCCTGCCTCTCTGACACATGTACCTTGTATTCACGCACCTTCACCAACAGATCATGTTCCATATCAAAGAGGAGCACACTCTTCACTAATGACACATTGATAAAAAATTACACGTTTCTTTGTAATGCACAATTCTTTGCATGAAATAAAGCCCTAATGTGAGATATTGAAAGATATGGTACTTGGCAGGGGGAGATAACTCACAGCTATAGTGATGACTGTCCTGGTCTGGAAGGCCGTAGATATCACATTCTGTAGTTTGCTGTCAGTCTCCAGATCTATGGAAGCTGTTGCCTCATCTAGAATCAGAATCTGATTTTCTCGAAGGAACGCCCGAGCCAGACAAAAAAGCTGTTTAAGACATAAACATATAGTCACTTGTGCTGTTTAACAAGAAATGATTAATGTATGCATTTATATTTGATAATTTTCAATTATTTTCTGCTATAATCAATTGATCACCTCCAATTTCTTTCAAATTTATACAATTTATCAGTTTGTAATGGTTTAAGTTTTCCTTAAATATAATATATATTTTACACTGTATATCAGGAAATGTTCGCGACATTTAAACTATTGCGTTTTTCCTCCTCCCCAATGATGGCCAATTTATTATTAGTACATAACATCAATATATAGTAATTGCGTGCGAAGGGCGAAATTAACACTTGACAAACATGGATTCTATGGGCAAAGGGTGAATATTTGACAGGGTGAAAGGTTCCTGGTAAACAGTATATAAATATATAAACAAGTCCCTACTAGACTATATCAATTATCTCTTTACAGACCATCACAAAATGGACAAAATTGTTATTTAATTTTAATTTTAAGAGGTTGAATATATCCAAGGTATCCTTAAAATCATGGGACAAAAGAAACACTCAAATACATATGTAAGACTGACATAATAACATTAAATATAATTAGTTGTTTCCATGTAGTTTGTATTTTTACCTGTTTCTGTCCAACACTGAAGTTTTCTCCACCCTCTGATACAGAGGAATCTGTAAACATATAATTCATATAAACATAACTTATACAATTTTTAAGAGTAAAGACACTTTTCCCTATCAAAATACAAAAAATCACTGTGCAACACCAAAGAAAATACAAAATTTATATACGGTTCTTACGGTCCCCGTCTTTAATTTCATTACACCCAAAAGATGCTCAAATCTGTTCACCAATTATTTTTCATATAAACATACAAACTTTTACAATAGTTTAGACGTACCCAGCTCCTCCGGTAAGGCAGAAATGGTGTCCTTGAGCTGTACTGTTTCCAGGGCCAACCATATCCTCTCATCACTAACCTCACCCTTGGGGTCAAGGTTGTACCTGTCAACACAAGTAAACTTTGAACTTTGACCCATCAAAAAAAATGAAATCTAGACAAGGAAAATTCATTTGTATCTATCTTCCTTACCTCTCCTTCAAAACATATAAAATTATTTGCATTACGTCGTTTGAGCTTCAGTTACATTATATTCTCTCGCTGAAGAACCAACCTGATTGTTCCATGAAACAGTACTGGGTCCTGTGGAATAATGGCGAGTCTGGACCGCAACTCTGGGAGTGACAATTTCATTGTGTCCTTCCCGTCAATCAGGATCTGGCCATGACAGATATCAATCATCCGGAAAAGGCTGAGTAGGAGGGATGACTTACCACTTCCTGTCCGACCACATATTCCAATCTGTAACAGGGGGAACAACTCTGTGCTTAGGTTTATGTAACATTATCTAAATCGCCATCTTAATATTTTATTCTCTCTGTGTTGTAAGTAAGATCCATGCCAATTTTTAGTTAATATCCCCTCAGTCATTCTGGACTAGTAGTCTTTCAAAGGAAAAGTTAATGATGTACAATGAACTCTTTTTGACCTGTTGACAAGTTGGACTAAGTATAAGGGTGAAAAACTTTGACAAGTATGCCATACCTTTTCTCCTCCTTGTAAAATGAAGGAAGCTTCGTTGACAACTGGGTCGAGGTTCTCCTCATATCGCAGACTGACATTGCGGAACTCTATCTCTCCATTTTCCGGCCAGGCCTTATCTACAACCAGGTTACCTGACAAGAAGAGGCATCAAAGGTTGAAACAAATAAATCATGATAACTCATAACTAAATCATGATAACTCATAATTTAATAATAAATTCTTCTACACAGATCAGAATATTTCATTATAAACAAGAGCTGTCGGAGAACAGCATAGCTCGCCTATGTATGTTATTATAATACTGCACCTATCAATAGAAACACATGTATAGTAAAACGTTGATATAGTGCCTGTCATTTTATTTGACACCTCACTTACCACCAGGATATTTCAAGGACTCTTAAATGTGTAGAAACATCTATGTGAAGTGATTGTTAAGAAATTAACAAAGTCCAATAAAGCTGTTTTTGGATGCTAAAATATGAAAATATGGTTCAACACATTGCTTACACTCAATACAAATACTTCAACCTTATAATAGACAACAGCCTATTGATGGTGGTGGTCAAACACTACCCAACAAAACTTGCCCAAAAAATTTAACCTCAAATTTAACGAAGTCCAGTTAAGCTGTTTTGGGGCCATAAAATATGAAAGTATTGCCCAGAACATTGCTAACACTCCATATAAATGCTTCAACCTTATAATAGACAACAGCCTATTGATGGTGGTTGTCCAACACTTCACAAAACAACTTGCCCCAAAACTTTAACCTCAAATTTAACGAAGTCCAATTCAGCTGTTTTTGGGCCATAAAATATGAAAGTATTGCCCAGAACATTGCTAACACTCCATATAAATGCTTCAACCTTATAATAGACAATAGCCTATTGATGGTGGTTGTCCAACACTTCACAAAACAACTTGCCCCAAAACTTCCAAAAAGTCCAATTAAGCTGTTTTTGGGCCATACAATATGAAAACATGGTCCAGCACATTGCTTACACTCGATATAAATGACTTAAACTCCTAATAGACAACTGTGTATTGAGTGTGATGATCCAACACTGTCTGGAAAAAACTTGCACCAAAACTTTAACCTCGGAAGGTGGGACACTGATGCCGACGCCGGGGTGACTACATTAGCCCCCCTATTCTTCGAATAGGCGCGCTAAATATTGTCGTAGTTATGCATATTCATATTGATCATCAATCTGATTAAAATTGGATCTTTGCATTGCTCCCGTTTACCGATATGTCCATTGGACGATATCAGTAAGCAGGAGCGATGTGAAGATATAATTTTAATTAGATTGATTGATCATTTATCGGGAATGATGTTAAAGTGACTGTTCCACTGCTGAGGGACTGAAGTCCAGTTATAATTGGATCATTCTGTCTATTTTCATGTCTCAAAGACAGATAAATCACAATGACAGTGTGCATTTGAGGCTGAAGGCTGATGGGCAAAAACACAAATTCATACAATTTGTAAAAAAAATATACATATTTCTGTAATTCAGAATTTACCCAGTAAGCGTATTCTTGTCTGAATTCTAGATATATTGTATCCTGTATTGCCATGACCCACCTTCCGGATGTCTGACAGGCTCTGTGTCCAGTCGTGTATACTCATCAACCCTCTCTACAGAATTCATCATCATTTCTGTCTCTGCTGAAAGTCTCACTATCCAATTCAAATAAAAAGAAACCTGGAACATAATCACAGTTAGATGATTACACACAGATACAGGGCAATAAATAAACAATGCTTAGTCAAGATATGACCCTAGAACCACAAAAATAATTCATATCTCTAAATTAGACATATTTTAAGTACTATGTTGTCTCAAATGTTTTACAATACCTAGGCCTGATAATTCTTTTGTTTCACCAGTTCATAAGTAAATCAACTTGATATTTCTTACCATGCAATCATAAAAGATTTAATGGTATATCAAAAAGGATCTGCACGAAACAGTACCACTATTATAGAAATACCAGTTAGGTAACAACATCTCTCAAAAAATACATGTTAGCTAACACCTTCTCTACAGAAATACCTGTTAGCTAACACCCTCTCTACAGAAATACCTGTTACCTAACACCTTCTCTACAGATATACCTGTTAGCTAACACCCTCTCTACAGATAAACCTGTTACCTAACACCTTCTCTACAGAAATACCTGTTAGCTAACACCCTCTCTACAGATAAACCTGTTACCTAACACCTTCTCTACAGAAATACCTGTTAGCTAACACCCTCTCTACAGATA